TTGTTTTTACTGTCTTTTGTTCTTACGGGCCTCGTCTGTATGTAGCTGCTGTAACATGTGACGGATCAATAAAGTTGATGTTATTCTCAGATCTAAAGTCAGCTTCTACAGCGGGGTTACCGTGTTCGTTCTCTGCCGCGGTTGGAGAGCTGGGAACAATCAGAGGGGTGAAGTTGTCCGGCGTGGGGGCAACGTAGTCAATAGAACTCCTGGACAAAAAAAAAACAAGCAAAGAGGGAACATCAGGCATCTTTCTGTTGTTGTTGTTGTGTTGGTGGTTCAAGTGTGAAGAGAACAGCATGAGCCTTACTGGGAGAGACTCTCCTGCACCAGCGTTCCCTGTCCAGACAGGTGCAGCAGGCGCAGGGTGTTGGCCGGCGTCGCTGCTGGGGGACCCTGCTGGTCCGGCTCGGACACCGTGCTGTCGACCGCAGCACCTGAAGGCGACACAGAGGTGATGCATGGAATAAAGGAGCTCTGTTTTGAGTGTTTCCTTACTTTTACACTTGACTAAATTTACATTTTTGTTTACTTGACTGGGAGATTCATCTTTAGAAACAAGTGAAAACTAGAGTTAGACCAGTTGTCGACCTGGCTGATTATCGTGGCCAGTATTTGACTATTTTTTGGTTATCAGTAAATGTATTTTTACTGACTGATTATTGACAAATTAAATGTGCTACTTCAGGTCTCCTTCTGTCTGCTGTCACTCTGCAGTTTCAGAAACGTCTACAAAGCAGACGCTGCAAAAATTGAACAAGACACACCAGGCGTTGCCTCAAACCAGTTGCTATGCTAATGGCTAGCAGCTAAGTTAGAATGCAGCCACAGATGAACCTGAACAGAGTCTGAAAAATAATTAATAATGCTTTAAGATCTGGACCTTAGTGGGCAATAAAAGTGATAAAACAGTGAAAGAGTAAGAAAAGAGAGAAGAACAGCAGACGTAACTGCAGCAGACAAACTATTCAACCTGAGGAGAGCGTCCTAATTCAACCACTCCTATTCCTATTTTACATATTCAGTTATAGTCACCCCTAATAATGAAGAAGACTAGTTATGAATGGCAGGTTCTCTGCTATCACATGCTGTTAAAATATCACATCTAATGTATATCGGCTCCAAATATCAGCTATCAGCCTTTCTTGATTTCTTTCTGTCTTCCAAACAGTTTTTGTAGACAGTGATACACGGCTCTATAGTTCACAGTTTGCTTCCAGGTAAGAGCAAGAACTTCTTAAGAGCGTTCTTGTGCCATGTTCCAAAATAAAATCACTGGTTTAGCTCAGGAGTTTTCAGTGTGAAACGGTGGGCAGTTTATTTTTAGAAGATCACAGCACACCTGGAACTCTCGCCTCACATTTATTAACACATAAACTACCACATCGTCTTCATTTACTGGGAAAAAAACATCCAAATCAACACCTCCTACTTCTCTATTATCCAGAACCCACTGGTTTCTGGGTTTTTTCTGTACGGTATAAAAAATTTGCTGGCAGAGTCTTGCTTTATTTTAGTCTAAGTCTGAATGATTTCGTCTGAAACGGCAGCTGAATGAGCAATTAGATTTGAACAGTCTGCCCAGTTTGTGCATGGATGTGTTGGCAGGGACGTCTGCGAGCCGAGACTTCAGAGCCAGCAGCAGAGAGAGAGGGGGGAAAAAAAAGAACCTTTCAATGCAAGAAACTGCCAAATCCACACTTATCCTTTCTGATTTGATATCCTGTCAACGCAGCAGCATGATTGTGCTTGATGGATGACTCTCGGGTCTTCTCCTCACTCAGACATGCATCACATCAGCGAGCTATTCTGCACTTCCCTGGTATTGATTCGGCAACAAATGCATTCTTATTAAGGTCTCAGAGCAAATAAACAGTTCACATCTTGTTCTGATCGCTGCAGCTGCCCGATTGTCTTTCAGAGTGAACAGAAAGACGAGCAGAATGGAAACAAGCAATGCAAAGAAAATAAGAATAAAACACAGCGGGGTAAGAAAAGCCGCCTACTCAGCATCCGATAACAGTTAAAATGAAAAGTAAGGCAGTGTTTGTTTTAAGGATTTGTTTTCTTAAGAATGAATGCAGCGTAAGTTTGGTAGGAGAACACATTTAAGAGCATAAAACACGATAGTACGATTCAGAAAATGATCAGAATCAATATTAAAAGTGAGTATTAAAGGTAATGGGTTATAATGACGGTGGCTTTTCATATCCTCACGTGTCCTACACATGTGTGAACATACTCGTCTTGTCGCCGTCGAACAGATCCTCCTGCGACGACAGGATCTCGCCGTCCTGCTGGTCCTGCTCAGCAGAGGTCTGGAGGTTCTGCGAGTGCAGCAGAGCCTGGACGCTGAGCTGCCGACCCGACTGACCCAAAGACTCCGAGGAGCTGCTGGAGCTCACCTCCGACCTGCAGGAGAACAGAGACGTTAGTGCCAGACTGTAACATGCATCTACAGCGAATGTGGAGTTTAAATGGCGACGTGCGGCCGTACCTCACTGCTTTGTTGTCCTGACTCTCTGAGGTCCTGGAGTTCTGCTCTGCTCGGGATGGAAAGAAGATGGAAGTTAGTTCGACTTATAAAACCATCTGATGTCAACTTGAACTCAGCTGTCACACTGCATCTAGTAGGACTACTAATGTACTTCTGCTCTATAACACACTGGACATGCATTTTACCAACAGCACCATAAAACAAAGTCGTCCAGGAGCTGTTCCACTGAAGCAGGTAGAATAATGTAAAGTTGCCATGACAACTGGTCTACTGGTTGGTCAATCTGCTCTCGTCTGACAAAACTCTTGCTGGTCTGACAGTTTTTGTTGCAACTTTTATATGAAACACAGTTCTCCATCAACAGCCTGCCAGGACTCATCCATTATTTCCAGCAGTAGACATGAACATCCCCACGTTTCATATCTCTGAACTGGTCCAACACAATGGAGACCGCTGGGTCGAACTTAAAGAGCAAAGCTTCATCTTATCATTTTGTTTTATTGCTCATTGCTTATTTGTGTATTTAGTTTTCTAATGTATTACTCTGGTTTAGGCAAGTTTATGTCCCTTTTCACAGTACATTTTATTTACGTAGTACTTTCATACTTTTTTTTTTTTTTTTTTTACATATAATATCTTATTTAGAATTTTTTTAGATTTCTATATTTATTGCCTCTCTTGCTATTGTTGTGTACCACAGTTTCATTCACCATGTCAAATTCCTTGTGTGTGTACGAGCTCACTTGGCCATAAAAGCTTTCTGTATTCTGCATCTGTTTGAAATCAGCTTTTTGACTTTGTCTGGCTGCCACCTTGGCCAGGTCTCCCTTGTAAAAGAGATTTGTAATTTCAACAGGACTTCCTGGTTAAATAAAGGTAAATAAATAAATGTACTGAACGTTTATTCTGAGTTGGCTTCAAACCTACTCCACATTGTGTCATAGCTCAACAACCAACATCTAAAACCAGCAGCTAACTCACCGTGTTATACTGTAGTTCTATTTACAGAAATCACATAAATAAGGGCAGGTCTGTTGATTTAGAACTTATGAAGGCTAATAAATCTAGCAGCTACAGTGAACTCATCTCTCTGTGAATCATTTAGTTTATCTAGAGATTTCATTTGATGTCATTTTTCTTCCTATAACCTGTCGATTGGTCGGAGAGGAGCTGCGATTTCAGTTGACAGTGATTTTCTTTGGTTTGCTGAAGCCCTATGATGTGGATTTAAACCTCTTTCTGTCACTTTAAATGAGATTAAACACAGGAGAAACACAAAACAAAATGACAGTATGTATAAATCAAAGTGTTGATACCTAACTTGCTGCGTCTCCCGCTGTCCGACTGAAAGGCGACTCCTCCTTCCTGACTGTTCAGATCCTGACTCTGAGAGAGCTCCAGAAAACCAAACTGGGAATTTCCTCCTGAAACACACACATGCAGATAGACTTAATGACACAAACGTTGGTATTTATCATGGCTGAACTGTCCCACTGTGGCTTCTCCTTCTACAGCTCTAAAAACTACACGTCACATATTCTCTTCATTGACCGGTGGTTTATTCTGTTAGTGGATGCATATATTTGCTTTCAACATCCTTTTATTTTTCTTCGTTGTCCTTTTCTTTTTAACTCTGACTCCTGCCCAAAGTCAACCCCCTGCACATCAGTACCTTGCAGTGTATTTAAAAGCAGAACCCTGGATGGATGGATGTTAATCTGTGAGAAGGCAGCTCACCTTCAGACTGAACACAGTGTGTCGTAGAATCAGCTCCAGAATCCATTTCGGCGTCCTCTGGCACACAACTGAAAAATGAGGAGAAAACACTTTATCAACACTTTGTCAGAGCCGGAGCATCGTAAATCTGCAGAAATGTATTTCTCAACTGACTTTTTCTTGTTTGGAGGCGGACAGCTGTTTAAAACTTGACTCTCCTCCATGAATGCTGAGCTGGGGTTGGTCGCTGTGAGAATGTCTGAATGAAAACACAGAAACATTTTAGATTGTTTAGAAATAAATATAAAGGAAAATGGACGTGCGTGTTGTTAGTGAAGCGCTGACCGGGTTCAGTGTGGTCGTTCTCTGATTGGCTGTCAGTCTGAGAGCATCTGCTTCCTAAAGGTGATGAGATCAGTTCCTGGAGAAGAAAAAATAAATAAAATATTAGTTTCACAAAAACTAAACTATATTAAATTTAATAAAACTCTCACTCTAATAAAGAAGACTTTTGTATTGGGACCTAAATAAACGTATCAAAGCCAAATGAACACGATAAACTCTGACTTAAGGGACGTCTGGGTGCCTTGTGTCGGCTTTGTTTAACTTCACAACAAACAAAAACGTGTTCAAACCTTCACTCGCAATTAAATCAATGTCAAAAGATCAAACTCTGTTTTAAAAGAGTGTCACTTATCTTCTCTGCTGCCTCACTAGCAGGAAGAACAACTTTATACTCAAAGCTGAAGAGGAAGAAAAATGTCACAGATACACACGTGTAGAGTTTTGTGATTTGCAGGTGGGTGTGTGTGGATCTGTAGACAGGATGTGTGTCTTCTGCAGGCGTAAAATCCCAAATAACGTGTTATTTAGCAGTGCTAACTAAGAACTACTGAAGTAAAACTTTCCGTGAGTATTTTAGGTTTACGATACCTTACACTCCTGCTTCACAACATTTCAGAAGAAAATGTTGAATTTAAACCCCACTGAAATTATCTAGCAGATATGGTACCTTTTATTGTTTTACTAGATCACAAAAAAGTGAATTAACTGAAAAAAAGCTTTATATAAAAAAATAAAGATCCCTGAAGATCATGCGTAAAAGTGCAGACAACCGTGGAAAAAACCAGGCCCTCCGGTGAATGAATTAATTATTTCTTCATTCTTTAAACAGTCTCGACTCTGGGTCTTTATCAGGACTCTTGTTTTGGGCGGCAGAGCCTTCAGTTATCAGCTCCTCTGTTGTGGAATCAGCTCCCAGTTTAGGTTTGTGAGGCAGACACCCTCTCTACTTTAAGATAAGGCTGAAAACTTTCCTCTTACATAAAGCCTATAGTGAGGGCTGCTCAGGATCAGCTGACCTGTCCCTGAGTTATGCTGCTGTAGCTTTAGACTGCTGGGGGATTCCCATGATGCACTGGGCTCTTCTCCTCTCCTCTTTTCCTTTTTTGTTTTCCCCCGCCCTGTCCTCTTTCCTTTCATCCGTCGAGTTGGGTGAGCTGCTGTCCTGCGTTTGGTTTTGTTGTTGTTTTTTTTTCTTCCTTCCCTTGGGGGGAGGGGATTTGGTTCCTTCTCACCGTTGCCAACCACTTCCTCAGAGGGAGTCCAAAGGCTACTTTGGATTGTTGGGTTCTCTGTTTAAATTGTAAGGTCTATACCTTACTATGTTAAGTGCTGTGAGATGGCATATGTTGTAAAGTGTGCTATACAAGTAAAACTGAATTGAATTGAATTGTTTTCAACAGTTGGCTGCACTGGATAATGTCAAGCAAGATTTGAATATACTTCTTTCCCACTAGAAAGTTCCTGCTGGATCAAAGCCACGCAGCAACACCTCCACCTTTTGTAAACTGCTTAATTAATTCAAGCTAGTTTCAGTTATAATAATAATTCAACTTTGGAAAGCAGCTTTCATGTCATATGTAGCTCAATGTATTACAACATTAAAAAAACTAAATAAAAAATACATAAAACTTAAGTTATAAATAACATTAAAAACAAGTAGGTATAAATGACAGATGATAATGATACCGTAAGAGGTGGAAAAAGAAGATTAGGTTATAAAATGATTTTTTCAGCACTTTTTAGAAGTTTTAACAGAGTTTGTCTCTCTGATATCTTTATGGAGGCTACTCCACAGCTGGAAAAAAGCTGAATCTCCAACATTTATGTATGTATGTATTTAGATTTATAGCTGAAATTGGGGTAAAATTGTGCCTATACAACCATATAGCAGTACAGATAATCTAATGCAATACAACTTCAGCACAACACAACACA